ATGGTTGGACTTGATGATCTTGAAGGTCCTTTCCAACCTTAATGATTTTGTGATTCTGTGATCTTTTCCCCTATAAAAAGAGGCTCAGGTTCTACCAGCCATTTCACAACTGAAAAATAATCCCCTGGTTTCCAAACCTCTGTCAAGGACATATTTACAGACAGTGTTAGAAGCACAGAATGCTGCTCAGTATTTTAACAATGCTTTAGAATGTAAACAGCTAACAAATGCACTTGAACTGCACAGCTTATTATCTGTTTCAATTATGGAAGTAATTACTTGCCTAGAACCAGAATTACCACATTTAAAGGAAGACCGTCCTACCTCCCACCAGTTTTAAAGATTAGATCTGCATTAGGTGCTCCCTTCGGATGCTGGTAACGAGGCCGCCGTTCACGATTAGTATTTGCTGGAGCTGGACGCTGTGCCAGAGACTGCAACATTTCTGCAATTTCATACAGAAGAAAGTTAAATACATTTTCTATGCATCTTTTTAGAGAGGAATTTACACAAGCACATTTCACTGCCATGTAGTAAAAAAAGACACCTTATTTACGCTTTGCTATACTTTAGAGTTAACACTACTCATGTTATACCACAACAGCTAATTTTTTAAAAAAAATTACGAAAATTGCATAGACAGCTTTGACAAACCCAAGCTATCCCATAATATGAACTTGCATTTCCAGATGTTATTACAGAAGGAACTGCCAGCAATGGTTTTTATCACAGGTGCTTAAGAAAGGGGCTGTGATCCTTCCCTTCTAAACATATCAGCCACCACTTCATCAATGATCAGGGACTGAGGTTCACAGCAGTATGAGAAACCACAACATTAAACTACCCTGAAATAGTAACAACTGGACAATGTTCTGCCAATTAAAGACTCAGCAAGAAACCTGTCCTAAAATTAGGCATTGTGAAGTCAGGTATTTAAGTCTAAGCTAGCCATAATAGGATCCTTTTACAGAGAAGCCAGGCACCTGAAGAGGGTGACTCAGCTGACCTATATTACACCAGCTGTCCCATGGATAGAGTTTGTCACTTTATGATCAGTGGGAAGAAATAGGCAGGTACAGAAAGAAACCCACACTACTCAGTTTTAGCCTGGGGCATCCAATCTTTGGGCAGTTTAAGCTAGGTAAGTATTGTGTTTTAGCATTTGGTAAAACTTAATTTCTAAAATTTTATTTCATATTTTTTTAATGATTAAAAAAAAGCCTCTTTACGAGGCTAAGTTAGTGTTAAGTACCTAATATAATTACAAATACATCACAGGAATCTTCACTTAACCTCTGCATATATGTTAGTGCATCTAATGGAAAGTATTTCTGACAGTCTACCTGTGCAAGAATCTACATTGCTCAGCAAATAGACAGATGGAATAAATGAAGGGGAAAAGTGGAATAAGCTGTTAAACAGATTATGTTTGAAAAATCTGCTGTCTGGTTCTCTAATCTCCAGTAATCTCATTGGAGACACATACCCATCACCTGCTAGAAAAAAGACTACTCTCATGATGACTTGCACAGGGCAAAACTGGAGATTGAGATTCTCTTGACATTTACAAAATGCACATAAAACTTTCAGTATGTTATCTACTCAATCTCTGAGAAACTAGGACACTATGAATGATTTAATATACAATATTGGTGTCAACAGTCAGTAAGCCATGTATTCACATTCTGTATACTTCCCTATAAACACCTGGAAAAGGCAAAGAAAGCCATTCGACACACTGACAGTCCATTTTTGTAAGCATCATGAAATAACATCCTTCAAAGCAATTCAGTATGCCAGGAGAGATCCCTGTTGGCAATGATGAGACCCAGGAAGAAAATAAGATATTATGGTACACTGCCAGCCAAGTGCTAGAAGCAACGAACGAGCAAGTGTGTGCATGCCTGTCTTCTGTTTTCCATACTGTAGGTGAAAGAAAATACCAGGGTTTGTGGAACGTCAGTAACTGAGAAGTCGAGTAATTGAGAAGATAACAGAAGGAAGAAATGGCAAAGGAGCACAATGTATTAGCTAGGCTGAAGGCATTTCACCCATCTTTGGGTTTAGTGAAGGAAAAAAAAAATCTACACAGAAAAACACTAGTTAAAATAGAGAGTCACCCAGTTCCTAATAATTCTTTAAATTAAACATGTTTGTAATAATAATAAACGTTGCTGGAGTATTAATTATCTGATGCTACTCTGAAGCACATTGGTGAATTTTCAGCTATTCGCTACCCTGTGCGGATTAAAAAAAAAAACCAAAACCAGAACAAATGTATGTGCAAATGTCAGGACACCCCTCAGGCATTCTTCCAGAAATTTTGAGATTTCTTCCTGCCTTGGTAACTTCAAAGCTTGAAACAGAAATTTAAAACCAACTCTTTCAATGTATATGTAACAACTTGTTACAGGCAAGCCGACTCTTCAGAAGTAACAATCAACTGCACAAAATCTCAATTAAAAAACCAGTTCCAAAGCAGAATGTAATTTGGCCTGTTTAATTTAAACTGATTAAAATGTCCCTTTTAGTTTGGTTTTACTGTATTACCCAGGTTAATAAAAAAGAAACAAACAGTAGTTTTCAAAAATTTATGTCAATTATGAAAAATCCTATTTCTTCTATGCTGATTTCCCTCCTATATTAAATGCTTTATACAGGGCACCTAGAAAATCTATGAGAAAGTTGAAAAAATGCCTATTACGGGTTATCAATTGTTATCAGTTGTCTGACTGACTTCTCAGACAAAAATCAATGTGGTCCTTTTTTTGGATAACAAGCACAGTTGCTCACAAAAAAATCCTAGATTAAACAGATTGATTTTAAAGATACCAACAAAGTCATATGACAAGGCATAAAAACCCAAATGCCCTGACCAGTAAAAAAATATCGGAAGTGTCATTGAGGAAATGCCCACAAAAAGTTTGAGAAAAGTACTTAAATGTCTAATTCTAGAGTCTACTGTTTCTCTTCCTTTTTCAAGAGTGGGCTTTGTAAGAGAGGAGCGTCTCAGAAAAGAGGTTTTTAAGCTGATTACAGTGTTTAATACTAAGAATATATTGTGTTACCATTTGAGCTCTGTAGACACTCACTTCGGGGAAAAAATACTCCTCCTTATGGTTACAAGTTTAGTCCTTGTACTATCAAAGTTCTGAAAAGAGTGTTAGATTCCATAGTGTTTTTACAGTTAGAGATGCTTTAATTTACACTTCCCATTTCTTGATGAATAATGACCTTTCACGACATACCTTAAATATTTCCTGCTAATTAACTACTTCCACTGTGATTACCACCAACCTGCAACACCTTTACAAAAAAAGTAGAGCAAGAACTTTGGAGATGTTAAATGGAAACACTGGCATAAGAACTAAACACCATTGGTATTGTTGGTCTGGCTTTGTTTACTGAGTAAGCCAAGGAAAGTTGAGTCTGAAAAACACCCAAAACAAACCACCCAACAACCAAACACATCAAGTGCACCAGTTTAGGGCCTATATGATCTGCTGTAGTAACTGTTTGCTTCAATTTGTCCAGGTTCCAAAACGTCTGATGTACCTATCTTCAAAAAACAAATCCGATCATATAATTTGTATGAAACCTTCATTCTATTAACGTATTCTTATATTTGACATCTGTAGCATTTCCAGAACCTTTAGCAATACAAAGACACGGCGGGTTTTTTTTCTCAGGTGAAGGCTACCTCTTAGTATTTGCAAGTCTTAGCAAGACTAATGAAGATTCTAAATGCCTTGGCCTATCGACATCTAAAAAGCAGAGTTTAAGTTGCACAGATTTAATTCCTTTTGTATCGAACTCAATTGTCTTACAATAATGGAGACAATGCCACAAACAGATTAATTTTATGTTACCTTTTCTGAATCTCAGTTCTTCGCCTTTCCCAAAATAAACTGAAATTCTGAGATTTATTGAAAACTCCCTTTCATGGAAGAGCTAGAAAAATTTCTTCAAGCACTGAGGCCAGGGAGTAAGTAATGCATGACTGGAACTAAAATATGGGTTTGCCATGAAGTATTACAAATTAATATTCAGAACTTAAGTTGCTAATTATAACAAATAATAGTTTCTGTAGATCCATTAAAGTTCCTCTGAAATTAAGAATTAAATACTTGTGATTTCTTACCCTGGTAGTCCTCTTGTTCTTGCCGTTCATTGATATCCAAAGTGAGTTTTTTCATCCTCATTCTTTCCTCCTGTTCAGCTTGCTGTTGGTTCCAATGGTTTGCAGCAAGTTGGGAAGACATTGGTACATTTAGGATCTTGAACTGCAAAAGAAAATAAGTTTTTAAGTCCCTATCACAGGAAAAAAAAAAACACACCACAAAACAATCCAAAATATAGAAGGGTTTTGGCTATTTCCAGGTTATTGTGATGAGATATTTTCCACAGAAGCTTCTACTGGAAAGTGTGTTGTTTGTTACTTGGATTTTTTTAAACTCTACTTCACATAAGGAAGCATGAGAAAATAGAAGGTATTCAGACCCCCTTAAGACACACAGAATATACAAAAAAGGCTCATACACTGCTAAGGCAAAAGACTACTACACACGGTATTTTTGGGAACAAAATTGATTAACTTTCGCCAGGAACAGACAGCTATATGCCTTATTTCTTATTTTCATACAAGCTGATACCCCCCCAGTGAATTAAACTGGCCTTGAAACAATGGCACCACAGCTAGCTCAGAAAGCTGCATCTCCCTCCAGATGTCTCTGCCTTCCAAAGAAATGAAGCCCCCAAGCAGAATTTCTACTGTTATCCCTTGTAGTAACAGAAGAGAAAGGCTCTAAGGGTTTCAGATATCTGCTGGCATTCTTGACTGGTACTTTTCCTTTTACAAATGATTCTAGCTTCACAGTGCTTCTTGTAAGTCTGGAAACAACTGTAGTATCAAATTTAACCTTTCCCCCCTCTCCTGTACACAAACATCCACACTATACATTCAACACATCCGATTTGCCATAAGCCACATTAATGGTAAGCTTGGTACTACTCCTACAGAAGTACCCTCTCTCTGAAAAATACAGCTGAGATTTTGAGAGACACATAGGGAAGATGCTTTTTCCCCAGACTCAGAAAATGCAAGATTTTATTCCCACAATTTTTTACAGTTGTTTCAAAACAGAGAAGTGATTCTTAATCTGATCTACAACTGAAACAATAGTTTTCATAAATCCCTTAATGCTAAAGTTTGTGAACATATTTAGAAAAATTTCACTTCCCCCTTCAACTGCATGTCCATTAGAAATAAATACTTCTGTGCTGTAAGTAGGGTAACACATTTAAGGATAACCACTCTCAGTATTCCAGGAACTATTCTGAATCTTACTGCTTGTTCTTGTCATCTGAGATCTATTTCCACAGAAGCAGAAGCAGGGGCAAATTTCTAGTGTTTCTAGTGTTCCTTCCTACTACACTGTCAAAAGCTGCAGACAGAAAGATACGTTATAAAGACATCTGTTGAGAAGGTATGTAGTAAAAGCAAAATCCTCACTGCATATGGTTAGCATTTAATGCAATAATTACTAAGAAATCTCAAGGTATCTATTAGATGGTAGTGCCCCACTAACAGTAAATAAATTATGAGTGTGAAAAGACACTAAGTACTCAGATGCAGTGTTTGAAAATAAACTGTTTGAAACCGTTAAGACAGACTTTTGCAAAGACTTGAGAAAACCCTGGGTACAGTGAAACCCTACCAAACAGAAGATTTATTTATTTGAGACAAGTCAAGCAAAAGATAGGGAAGGGTAATAGCATATTACGTTGAACATAAATACAAGCTGCTTGTTAAGGTGTGCAAGAAGTATAAAAATGAAAGTTCTTGAAATTCCAACAGAAAAGTAAGCTTTGGTTACTTACTGCTGAGCAGACTATGCATGTTCCCAGATATTGTCAAATGAGCTTTACGCAAACTACACAAATAACTAACCCATTAGCAGCACTTCATGATAAAAATCGTTCCTTAGCTTCACCATTAAGCTCCTCATCCATCTCAGTATGTCCTTTATATTTTGTCTGTTCTATGGATCTATCAGCCTAATGGGATTGGTAAGTGTTTTCAGACAGGATGCTTCAAGTAGAAAAAAGAGAACTGAAATATTGAAGAGTCCAAATGAAAGAAACGGATATAAAAAAACCAACAGATTGGTAATTAACAAAATATCACCGAGTCAGCATCTCGAGGCAATCAGATGGTTACCATCTGAAATCAAATCACTGATGACAATTACTAAAGGATATGATGATTACTGAGCAAATGAAACATTTCCGATTTGCAAACACTGAAGAGGTATATTGAAAACCTCTTATAAAACCTGTGAGATGAGGACAGATGCAAGGATTTCGAAGATGGCAAACTGAAGACAGACCTGAAAAATCATCATTCAGCATACTAGATTACAGATTTGATAAAAATGTCACTGAGATAAAGGACTTCACATTCAAGGACAGGCTTGACGATTCTATGGATATTACAATTCTTTTATGCAATCTTACTAAAAATTTTTCAGATGAAGGGAAATATTTTGTTTTAGGAATTAACCAAATTTCTTTCTACTATGTGACTTTCTTTTTACTATCTAAATCTCACCTTGGTTCACACCCACCTGGTACAAAACTTCTCAGACAATTTCAAAAACAAACAGTATTAGACAGATCTCAGATCTGATGCCTTGTGATGACATCAGTATTTCTTTATCTACCCTTGTTCTCCCATGGCTTGTGAATAAATTATGATGCCATAGTCTGATTTCCAACAACCACGTTCAGTTCTACTGCTCCTAGTTTTGTAAGTTTTGTCAAGCAACTTCTTTGCTACAACTGACAGGTGAAAAAAACATCCAGTCATCTGTTGCAAGACATTGGTCTATCTGATATCCTTACTATTGCCTGCTTTTGTAAATCAGTGTGACAAAAAGGATACTATCAGCCTAAAGTGACTATTCAGTTGTTTATGCACTGTTTAAAAAAAGAAAAATAATAGTTGCCAACACCCCACTAAAATCTGGCTGAACACTGGCATGTGAACTGAGCATTAAGCGAGCGACTGGACCTTGACTACCAAATATTAACCCCTGGAAGGAAGCACAGCACATTCAGTTTTCATCAGTAAGCACTTTCTTGCACAGAAGATTTCTGGTTTCAGCAGCACTGTTGACAAAGAGCACAGAGACTAAACCAACTGCTAACGTAACAAGCAATTAGGTCGGTGTCGTAGTGAGGTGGCAATGCTTATCGTCCCAGTGACTGTGCGGATGAGAAGTTACTTAGAGCCTTCCAGGTCAACTGCAAGCTCCTTTTGACTTTTTTTTTTTTAAAGCTGAAAAAGTTTATGGCTATAACTTAATAGTAAAGTATGCTTCAAAATACACTTCATCACTTCAAAACACAGTACACATTCCGCTAATGCACATTTAAAATAAAGTACTCTAAGAAGGAATAATTATTTTCTTTTCAACTCCACCTCTTCTTTCCTGCTTATTTTCTTATTAAAACTGACTACTAAGACTTTTTTTTGTTTTCTGAATACAGAACTATGGACAAAGACGCCTTTCATTAACTCAAGAACTGAAGTAGTCTATAAAGCAACTGTTTTCTACATTTCTAGAAACATTGAGAGGAGTTTTGGCAGGAAGAGCCTACTCCCAAAAGTAAATATTGGGGGAGGAGCAGGGAAAGCTCCTGAACAAGTTCTGCTTTCTTTTTCAAGCCACACGTCGGCGATATTTTCCCCTCGCACAGAATATGAAGATCCTAAAATTCTTCGTAACTACAGATAATTCCAGTAAGTTATCCTGAAAAAATTAAACACAACTTTATTAATAGAGTTCCCTTAAATCACTCTCAGCCCAATGACAACAGTTACAATCCCCACTGAAAACTTCTGTAGAACATTGTATACAACATTCAAGGTCCAGGAAAACAGAATAACCAAATGTAGGAATCAAATCAGTTAATCATCACTATTAAATGCAAGCATTTATGTGCCCACTCAAATAGGTATCACCACTTACATTTTCAGAGTGCTTACATAGCACAGCATTTTCTTAACGGACTAACAAGGCTTAAACAGATTTGGAATCACACACTCACTAGTTCAAGTGTTTTATGAAAACAGACCTCACGTTCTACACAATTTTTAAACTTTCACATGGAGAATGAAAAAGATTCTACTGCAGCTTTATATACCTCGACTGTTATACTACTGTCACAATTCAGGTAACAGAAATCAAAACAAAGTAATGGCATGGATGATAGAGATCTGAATACTTGAAAGGTACAGATGCATTGAATAAAACAATGCCTTTGTTTTGCTTTCCACAAAGTCAAGAGTCATTCACTTTCAATCATCAATTTATACAACCAAAATGAAAGGGTTTCTTTAAAGGATCTAAACCATAATGAGAAATGTATGTGGAATGTGTTAGGTATCAATTTGTATACTATGCATTTGCTGACCCATGAAAATTCAAACATATACTGGAGAACAGAGCCAAGACAAATGTATAGCTTGGCTGCATGAAGCTAGGGGTTTATTTGTTTCATCAACATGATTTCCATTTAAGTTTCTGTCAGAGATTCACTCAGCACATTCTGGAAGAGTCTCCTAAAAAGCCTTTCAAGATAATGACTTTTTTCCAGGTGGAACAAATTCAACCAAGTGACAGTTACTTAGGAAATGGAATTCAGCAAACACTATATATCTTGATTTGAAGCAGAATGTTTTCAGAAAAGTCTGTAGAATCATGAATATTTTGGAATATTCTTGCTCGTTTTCTTTTCCATTCCTTTTAACTTCCAGTGGCATTCTACCAACCACTGACATTCATCTTCAACAACTACGTTTAAAATACACATAAAACATTCACCTGTCCTACTGGTATGATCACAAAACATAATTAGTAATGGTATAATTTAACCACAGAATTTTCCTACATGAGTTCTATTAACAACCAAGAATTCCAAGAAACTACATACGGTATTTTCTATTTATCAAACTTAAGATGCCTGTGTCCTAATCTGGTAAAAGGATGAAGAAACAAGAAATTCTGTGACTTGAAGTCACAGAGTGTGACTTTCAGAAAAGTAAAAGTAATTTATTTAAGCAATATCTACGTCTTATGTGAACTCTCACCTGCTGTTTGTTGCCTTTTCGTGTTAACATGACAAATGGCATCGTGTCTCCAGACTCTGACTCTCCTTCCCCACCTCCAAGCGGGGGACCCTTCTTGAGCTGACTTTTGAGATGTAGAGGAATAGC